CTGTGTATATGTCTGTGTTTGTGTGTGTGTGTGTTTATGTCTGTGTATATGTCTGTGTGTGTGTGTGTGTTTGTGTGTGTAGCCCAAGAAGTTCATCGTTCATTAGGGTTGTCCTCAGAGGCATGCACTTCAAACACAAGAGCAGTAGGTACACCACTGAAGAAAATGTCTGGAGTCAGTCATGGTGCCACACACCTTTGATCCATCCTAGCACTGGGAGGCAGAGGCAGGTGGATCTCTGTGTGAGGTCAAGCTGGTCGATATAGTGAGTTCTAGAGCAGCTACAGTAGCGCAGGAAGACCCTGTCTCAAAAGAATCAAGAGAAAGAAGTCTCCCCCATCACCTTTATTTGTTTTAATGTTTTTTTAATGATTTTAATCATGTGTGTGTCCGTGTGTTGGATGTGTGCACATGAGTGAGTGCAGTGCCTTCAGAAGCCAGAGGCATCCGATCCCCCTGGAGCTGTAGTTCCTAAGCTGAGCCATCTCTACAGCCGCTAGTAAAAACAAAAACAAGAACAAGGCATGTTTCCCAGATTTGCATGTCCTTCTTTCAGAGGGACTGTGCTAATCTCTGTATCTTTCTAGTGTTAGTATATGCATTGTTGAAAGAAACACCTTTTTTTTTTTTTAATTGAAAACTTTCTCTGATCATGGTTTCTCTCCTCTTCCATATTTGAGACAAAGTCTTGTGTAGCCCAGGCTGGTCTTGAACTTGCTGTAGTAGATGAGGTTGACCTCGAACTTCTGATACTTCTGCGTCCACCTCTCAAGTGCTAAGATTACAGGGATTCAATACCACATCCAGTTTAGGTAGTACAGGGGGTTTAGTACCCACTGGACCACTGCCTGCTGTAGACCAAGGAGGCACTCTACCTACTAAGCTCCATTCCAGCTACTTCATTCATTCATTCATTCATTCATTCACTAGCTTTTCTATTTACCTATTTAATCTCATTATATAGTCCAGGTTAGTCTGGAACTCTCTGAGAGGGCCTCTTGCTTCTGACTCCAGAGCATAAGTTACTTTCACCACCCCTCCCTTCTTGCTTGGCTGTGTTTAGGACCGAACTTAGGACCTTGGCATGGTGCACAAGTGATCTACCGCTGAGCTATATCCCCAGCTATCTGCCCACACACTGCTTCTTTTTCACCTCACTTTTTATTTTTAGGACATGTTCTTGTTCAATCTCCAGGACCCACGTGGTAGGAGAGACTCAGTCACAGCAAGTTATCTTCTGACTGTCACATGACCCTGACTTCAACATCCTTGTCTGGATCCCTATCTAGGGGCATTTAGGTCGTCTTCCTCACCAAGGATAAGTGGTGGTTCCAGTTCTTTGGTTAGTTTTATTTCTTTTGTTGGGAGGAGTAATTCATGGGTCATTGAGGATAGTAGAAAAACATGTCTTCTACCTTTGGCTTGGTGATTGGGCCCCAGGACAGTCAGCTTGAGTTTATATGTGTGTGATTGGGGCAGGGGTTGGGGGAGGTTATCTCTGTTGGAGTATGAGTCATGGATCATGGGTATTCAATAAATACTAAGTGACGACAAGTGTGTATACAGTTTCACATACGTACCTGTCTCTGTGTGGCTGACTTTGCTGTGTATTTGAACTTTTTTTTTTTTTTTTCAGTGCAAAAGTCTGAGTAATTACATACAGGAGTATCTATGTAAATGTGGGTGGCCATCTTTTTTGATTTTTAAATTCTTTTATATGTATGCATGCATATCCTATGTGCTTGGTACCCTCTGAGGCCAGAAGAAGATGTTGAGTCCCCTGGAACTGTAGTTATTGATGGTGTCATCTGCCTTGTGGGTGCTGGGACCCTCTGAAAATCAGCCAGTTCACTTATTAGCTGAGCCATCTCTCCAGCCCTCTGTGGCCATCTTTACTTAAAAGTGTGCATATGTCTGTATTTGCATCAGGTCTGCCCTCAAGGGTGTGTGCTCTGTAGAATTGATTCTGTGGCTGGGAAAGCATGAGGGTCTCTGTGCTCATGCCTAAGCATCTGTGTTGCTCTACTCTCCTCGGGCTTGGGTCTCTGTGTCAGAGTGCGCCAATTCATCTGTGTTGACTTCTGTGAGCATCTTTGTGCAGAGAGAGCTCGCTAGGCCTGGCTTGGTGTGAATGTGAGAGCATCCCGCCTGAAGGAGCACGGTGCCTAGAGCAGAGGTGACGCACCCTCCCTGGTCTCTCCGTTCTCCTGGGAACCAGTTTACCAGTGAGACCGTGAGAGTGAGACCGAGAGCAGACTTTGTCAGGAGCACCGGCCCCTTTTGCAACCAGCCCTTGCCCCAGGCCGTAACCACAGATCGTATTGCACAGGTCAGACCTGCCCACTGTTCCTGGCTGCCAGGAAACCCAGCTCTTAGCAGGGCTGAGCCAACAGTGCCCTCCTTGGGCTTGGGCCAGATCCTTGGTGAGGTGAGCAGAATTATAGCAGAGGGGCCTCATGAGTCAGTGTGAACGGCAGGGAGTGACTTCCTGGGTCTGGGCACTGTTGCTTTCTGGCCCTGTATGCAGCAATACTTAGGTAACTTTGTGTCTATCAGCTACCTGACCTGGGGTTTCCTGATCTGAAACATCCAGATCTTGAAGATCAGGCCTCTTCTCAGAGTCCTGCATGGGGCACTAAAGCTTCTGCTCTAAGAAATGGTTCTCAAGCCAAGCGCAGTGGGACACAACTTTAATCCCAGCACTTGGGAGGAGAAGGCAGGGAGATCTCTATGTGTTTAAGGCCAGCCTGGTCTCTGCAGCTAATTCCAGAACAACCTACATAGAGAGACTGTCTCAAAAAGAAAAAGAGAGAAGAAAGAAGGAGAGAAAAAGGAAGAAAGAAAAATAAGGTAGCCAAGAGTGGTGGCATATGCCTTTAATCCCAGCACTCAGGGAGGCAGAGGCAGGGGGATCTCTTAGTTTGAGGCCAGCCTGTGAGTCTAGGAAAGCCAAGGCTACACAGCTACAAAGAGAAACCCTGTCTCAAAAAAGAAAGAGAAAGAGAGAGAGAGAGAAAAGGAAGGAAGGAAGGAAGGAAGGAAGGAAGGAAGGAAGGAAAGAAAGAAAGAAAGAAAGAAAGAAAGAAAGAAAGAAAGAAAGAAAAAGAAATAACAGAGAATGGGTCTCTTGGAGGGCAAAGCTGAGCAGGCCAGTGTTCTAAGGGTCTGGGTAGTCCTAGGCTGAGAGTAAAGGAAGGGGAAACAGCTGGGCTGAGGATGAGACCAGATGGTATCACTTAGCTATCAGCTGCTACAGGAACATTTGTAGGGCTTTCTTTTCAGACTGAGGCTGAAGGATGTTCCCACAACTAGAATGACTATGGGACTAATTGCCAGACTCTAGAGTCTTGGATGTATTATCATCTACTTGTGACCCCTCTGGAAGACGGACTCCCTCCTCCTCCTCCTCCTCCTCCTCCTCCTCCTCCTCCTCCTCCTCCTCATCATCATCATCATCAAATCCATGCCTCTTTGACCTTTATCTGCAACAGTGTGCTTGTTTCCCAGGTGTCCAGGTATCCCAGACCCCAGCATTGAGAGGCATCAGGAGAATTTGGGACCTGTATGGGTTTAGGAATTCCCTGGGGCCTGTTGGAACTGGAAAGCAGGTAGGTAGCCAGACCCCACCCAGGGACACCTGCCCGTTACTGCTTCCTCCTTCAGGCCCATGTTCTCTGTGAGTAGATTAGACTGCTTTGCCAGGTTTCCTCTTCAGCCCCGAACCAGCTAACACAGCTGTTTCCAGGAGCTGTCCCTCCAGGAGGGGGATGGGGAGAGATTGTTGTTCTTGTAAAACAGGAGACCCTTTATTCTGGAGGCTGTGTGCAACCCACTCATGCTCTATGCCAGGCAATAAGCTACATTCTCTGCTGACCCTTGCCCTCACCAATAACATACAGACACACACACACACATAGACACACACAGATACACACACACAGATACACACACACACACACACACACACACAGACACACACACACACACACACACACACACACACACACACACACACACACACTAGGAGATTTGGCCTCTAGTCCCAGCTCCATTCTGACTTGCTGGGTGACTTTGGGCAAATTACTGCCTTCTCTCTTGTCTGAGTTTCTAGCAGTTATGAAGTGGGGCTAATACTCTCTGCCCCTCCCTGGCTCCCAGGGGACCAGTGGGGATAAGCAAGATAATAGCCGAGAACTGATTTGGAGGAAGCTATCTGGTGCCAAGTAAGAGGTATCAGAGCTGGTCTGTGTTTACATGGGTGTGGAGCTTTGGTTCCCAGCCTCCTGGGGCTTGGGACCAGCCCTGACAGCTTCTTGGCTCTTGGCTTCTTTGTCCCACTTCCAGAGAGAGGACAGAAACCGAAGCTGAACAGTTGTCTACAGGTGGGATACCAGCATGAAGACTTCGGGGCTCTAGAGCACTGGCTTCGAGGCCTGGCTCTCACCCCAAATTTGTGTGATCCTACACCTGTCACGGCCCCTCTCTGGGCTTTAGCAACTCAATGATGACAGCTTGTGGTTCTGGACTGAGAGAGGAGAGGACCCTAGAGCCCGTAATTGAATGCCAATGTCACTCATGTGAGGCAGGGAAAATCTTATCATCTAAATCGACCTTCTTTATTTCCCTGTTGGAGCCACAGACAAACCACATGGTCAACATGGCCAACCCCAAAACCATAAATTATTTGCAAAGGGGACAATGTGTAGGAAGGTGTACAGGTCAGAGAGAAGTCTCAGGGAAGGCAACTGGTCGCCTTCTCTACCAGTTCTTGCTTCTTCCTTCTACCTACAGCCTCTCCCTGCACCTCTCACCTCCCTCCACCTGATGCTCTTTCTAACACCCATCCCAGGCCTCTCCTCAACCCCCTGCCCTCTGCAGCCAAGGTAAGGCCTCCTCCTCTCATCTCCCCTGCCACCAAGGAGCCTCTAGCCGGACTCTACCTTCTGCCCCTCTTTCAACCATCCATGATAGACAATGACCTCCTTGTCACCAGGCTGGGAAGGTTTGAAGTCTGTGGTTCCCTGGTCTTTGGCTATTACTCTTGCCAACCATCCTTCCTTGCCCTCTGACCTCCTTCTCCTCTTTTTTCACCTTCTTCCTCCTCCCAAGATACTGCTCTCTTCTTTTGTTCTCTTTCCTCATGCATCTACCCATCTATCTGAATTTTCTCACAGTGGTCTCTCCTGCTCCTGGGTCGCACCCTTACTATCCCCTAAACCCAAGGCCTCCCCTGCCTCTGCCAAGCACAGACTGCTCACCTCCGGAGGGGACTTAGTGGTACCATTGCAGAGCCATGCTGAGCTTCTCCCTGTGGCCCAGACACAAAGACTTGGGTGTTTTTGCCTCGCTTCTGACCCTGTTTTGTGTCCTTCTTGCTTTGTTTTGTTTTGTGCTATCTCATAATTTACAAACGCTGTTAGGCATCCTTGAATCATTCCCCTGTGAGGCCAGGCGGAAGAAAATAAGTAATCGACTGTAAGATCAAAGAAGCACATCTCCATCTGTTGACTGTGGCCTGTGCTTGCTGCCTGGTTCTCCTGAAACTGCCCCACCCCACCCACTTCTGTTGGTGGCGGTGCCACACAGCCAGGCTCCCAGGACTGCAGGGCTTAAGGCT